GTGCGCCGGCTCCAGCATGTGAGCGCATCGAGCCTGCACCCTCTGCACAATGTAGTGTGCAAGATCTGGCGGAAGTGCACAAACCTCCTCTGCCACCTGGCGGGCCAGATCCTACGTCCACTCAACCACCCGCGACATGTGCACCCCTCTGCGGTCCAACCTGCGCAGCAGGTCGTACACAGGCTCCATGATACGGAGCAAGATGCCCATGGAATCCCACCAACTGCCATGTCGCACCTGCCACCTGACCCACCTAGCCAAATAACGAACTGAATGGTCCCAAGGGACCATACCCCAACTATCGCCATCCACCGTCCTCTCCAAAGCTGACCTCACTGCCAGCAAACGCTCCACCATCGCGAACACGGATGCTAAACGTGTCTCGCAAGGATAGATGAGGCCCATCTGACTGCTCTCCCCCCGGAAGATATGGAGAGCGGCGCCGTGCTCCTTAATGAAGCGCACCACCGCTCTCCCCCTCACGATGATGTCCTTGGACCACGGGCCCGAACAGCCAATATCTGACAACATCTTGTTGCAGACATGCACTGCGCATGGGAGCCACGTGATCCGTCGATGCTCCGGCCTCTGCTGGGGCCCCTGGAGCATGTTCGCCGCGGTGACGTACGCCGAGGCGGAGTCGGTGCAGATGGCGTTCACCCACTTGGGGGGGAAGTCATTGAATACCTTGATCCACCGCGCCAACACATCAGGCGCCCGATCTCGCTCACCCTCCCTGTTCATCATCCGGACGAGCATCACCCCACGCGACCCGCCGGCAAGGAAGTTAACGATGGGTCTAGCATCGCGTGACTTCCTTCCGTCTGAAATAATGGTGGCCCCCGTGACATAGAAAGGAGCCCTGACCTCCGCGAGATCAGCTCCCACATCGTCCGCCGTGTGGACAATGGTCTCTATGTCCGTGATCTCATTCTCTGAAGGACACAACACCTTCACTGGCCCCGGCAAGTCCCTGAAGTGTCGGACGGCGTCCAACCATGGCTCGCTCCAGAAGACGTTGAACGCCAGGCGCTGACTGTACACAAACCGCAGCCACTTTTTCTTGAACTCCATTTGCCACTTTGAAGTGAACGACTTCGTGATCGTCTTCTGTCTCATCCTGTTCTGTGCTGCAGCTGCTGCCGTCGGTCTGTCCCCCTCCTCTCTCTCCTTCCTCTTCCCCGCAGACGCACTTGCCTCAGGCGTATCCGCACCTGCCCGTGCACGAACCGACACGTGCGCCGACGCAAAGTACTGGCCCTGTTGCCCCCCCGGCTTGCTGACAACGCCCTTCCCTCGCTCCCTCCTTGACGACCCCGCCCGTGCAACCTCCTCCTCGTCGTCGTCCACATTGATCTGCTCCCCCGCGTCCCTCATCTCTCCCTCCCCCCCCTCGTCCCGTTGCGTATCCACCGCAGGCGCCGCACCGTGAAGCTCCTCAAATCGTTGTATCCGCTCTAGGAACTTCTCGGACATCTTGTACTCACTGTTATAGTGGATGTCGACAAGTGCCTCGTCTGTCACTTCCGGACATCCCTTGCCCTGGCGGAAATGGCGTGCTGCCACGAACTGGTTGCCCTGGAACTCGTGGCCGCAGAAAACGCACTTCAACATGCGATTGCCGCGGAATCTCTCGCCGAGACTCTGTCTCACATGGATGTACCTGTACACGCAGCACTTCTTCTGCGCCTTCAGATTCTCGTCCTCCCCCCCGTCCTCAAACACCCAAGATTGACTTTGCGGCATCGTGCCCGCTCGCCGATGGGTTCACCGAAGCGGTCCGCCCCTAGCCTGTCCCACGAAGCCCCAACTCCCGCCGGCGTCCCTCCCCGCCGCAGGCCTTGTC